CTAGCAATCGGTTGGAGACAGGTTTCGGGCTATTTTCGGCCCTCTGATCCTGTGAACCCTTCGGTTGGAGATGGCCTGACCAGCCTTCAGTTGGAGATGACCTTACACTTCTCAAAAACTATCACTTAACCTAACTAGCGGTTACACTTTAAAAAGAAACTAGCCGTTGGCTTTCTTAGTTTAGCTGCTGCATTCCTTCTCGATCAACTTTGGTTTAGCATCCAACAATTAGTATAGTTTCATGATATGCATATTTTTTATTCTTTAAATTTCAGCTTTTCATTTTGTATTACATCAATGTTAGGACCGTAGGAGTGTCCATTTAATCATTATTGTACCCAAAATTATGATCATAATACTCAGATAAATGTTGAATTAGTTGAAAGCATTGTACATGATTTATTTTGATCGCTTATTTTTAATCCCTTTTGCTGGATTCTGTTTTTTCTTTCTTTTCATGTTGCTGCAATAATCGCATTTGGAGCTATATGCTTCTGCAAAACGAAATAAATGGTGACCATAGAAGGGCAAATGAAGACATCATCGGTTGAAAAATAATGGTTACATCTTCTAGAGATTGATTTCAAGCAATGCATCTTACAGTTGAGTTAGAAATTCAAGGCAATGGACGTTACAGTTTCAAAATCAAACCATAACGACATAATTGTGTACTCAATTTCTCACATCAAGCAGAAATTGTAATAGTCCAGGAGGTATACCCAAACAGGTGTAATTGTGTTCGTATTCAATTCATTTCGGAATGAGATCATGATCGTTTTAATAACGAATATGTTTTAGTACACAAATATCCATATCCTATGAGGTGGCATTTCTCTTCCTAATGTTGGAAGAAGTGTCAAGTTCGAAACCCCTTTCCCCATTGATAAAAATAAGCGTATGAGTTTAGTACGTAGTTATCAAATATACAGAAGCATATATATGTACTTAACTTCAGGTCTGCATAAAATATTATGCTAAGCTTGAGAAACACAACAGTTGTCTAAAAATATTCCTCCAAAGCAAAATAGGTGGGGTTTCGGAATGTGCCTGCTCTGCCAAGATATGGATTTTCTCCTCTTTAAGGCTACCAGTTATTGAGTTCCTTTCTAGATTCTCTCAAAATGTAGCTAGAAACTCGATAGCATCAGTAAAGCTTAAGGCCTAAACCTTTTACGTTTTGCACAGTCTATCCCTAACTCCCTAGCTATCTCCCTACACCCTCCACCCAACTTAACAAAAATGAAGGGAATGAAATTACTCACATGCTTATTATTCATATTACATGCACTCGTGCCTTTCAAGCTCGGCTCTCCTGAGATTCTTTGAGTTAGAACATGAGGTTGTACAAGGACAAGGAATTCATGTTAAGAATAAGAAATTAAACCCTCTTATTATTTTAACTGAATTATCTTTCGAACCACCAAATAATGTTACGGTGAATATTCTATAGTAGTGAGGCATACTGGTGTGGGTGGCTCAATCAAGCTGTATAGAGAAAAACATGAAACGGATTATTCAAGGAAGAGCCAAAGAGGGAAAGGCAGAGTTGGTTCAAATATTGCTCATCGGAGCCCAAAAAGTTGTGCAACACCGGTGATTAGAAGATCCCAGCAGCCCTCCTCTTGACCAAAACCATGTTGCAGGTAACATTTGCTTTGATTCTTATTCTTCGCATTCAATAACTGTAGCATGTTCTGATTTATCGGAGACATAAATGAAGCGTTGGTTTGTTTTTGTTTGGTCAATAAGCTTTGCTTTGTTAATTGAGAACTTTTCTCCCATTCTATTTGTTACAATTAATAGGTTTGGAATCTGATGAGTGCTGATATCTATATTTTTGCTGGCAAGTTTTCAGAAATTGTTTGTAAGCTTGTAAATGGATTGTAGTGTTATAAACATAAATTTAACATCCTCTTTTTGATTCTCTGCAAATTGGAAACGAAAATGATCTCCTTAGTCCTACACCAAAAACTGAAAAGATATTCAACGAACAACTGCATGAAACATGATAGAACGTATAAGACTAGAGCAAGATCACACTAGTAAGATGCTTTTTTTGTTGGGGCCACTAACAGACCTGACGTTAGAGACCCAGCACTTTTGCGTCCAGGGCGTCTGGTTCAGTTGATTTACATCCCTCTCCCTAATGAGGAATTTTTCTATCAAGCAATCAAGTCTTGCTTGAGGAAGTCTCCAGTTTCCAAAAGCAATCAAGTCTTGCTTGAGGAAGTCTCCAGTTTCCAAAAGATGTGTCAATGAGGACCTTTCCAAGTACACACTGCAGGTTTAGGTGGTGCGGACATAACCGAAACATGCCAGCATGCTTGCAAATATGCGATTAGAGAGAACATTGGCAAAGATATTGAGCGGGAGAGTAGGAGAAATGAGAACCCTGAGGCAATGGAGGAGGACGTTGTTGATATGTACTTTACAATTAGGAAATTTTCATGAATTTGTCTTTTTTTTGTTTAAATTCCACTTTGCAGTTTGTATTACAACGATGTCACTTAGAACTGCAGAACTGTCAATTTAAGCATTGTTGTACCCAAAATTATGATCATATTACTCGGAGCTAATTTTGTACTGGTTGAAAGCATAATGTTTGATTTTCTTTGGTCAGTCTTTAATCCGTTTTCCTTGTTTCTGTTCTTTGTGCCTCCTCATGTTTCTCTGCAAAACAAAAGCAAAGGGCGATTTAACGTGCATGGTCAGTGAACCAAATGAGGTAATAGAATAACCAATGAGGCAGAGGGAGGCTGCAAGAAACTGCAAGGCAACAGACCATCAACGTAAAAATATTGTACGTGTTCACATCCAACAAAAATTGTAAAAGTCCAGGCGGTATACCAAAACCAGTGCATTAGGTACGTGTTCAGTTCCCTTCAGAATCTGATGATCAGACGATCATATTACTAGCAGTCACGTCAGTTAATAAATGAATATGTTATATACTTACCCATTAGCTATATTCTGAGTATTTTAATTTTTGTCGATCAAAGTAAATTTCATTGAAAAACAAAAGCTATTACAAGGTAAGGATACTTCCAAATAGAGTCCCAAAAAGGCCAAGCAAAAGCTCAATTCCATAATAGAGAATTACAATGAAATAGGGCCAAAGTGAGCAGCCCATAGCAGCTAACAAACGGAAAAACCTAGATAAGAACATGTAAAGTAGCCACCTCCACCAAAACAGCCGCACCACCACCGCAAGTCTGTCGCCACCACGTGGAAGAAGGGCCAAAGAACTAAAAGGATGAATGGAAAATGGGGGTAGGGGCAACAATGAAGGAGCAACAACTTCTCCTTTTCTGAAATGGGGCTGCGGCAGTGGCTCATTTTCTTCACTGTGCTGCTCTCTGTTTTTCTGCTCAAACAATAGGCAGCTCCTGCTACCAAATAAAACCCTAAACACCACCCCGTGGCTTTCACATGGGCCAAATAAAGGGGCCCATTGAATTGGGTTGCTGGGAAACATAAAGGCCCATTGAAATTTGGCCACATATTCAATAAAGCATAGAAAACAGAGCTGAGATAAACTTAAGGAAGGGGCAACTTGAGACACAAAATGCTCAGAACGAAAACAACTGAAATCTAAGTGCATAAAAAGAAAAACCAAATCACCAACCATGGTGGTTTGGGGAAGGGAAAAACTGGGAAGAGTTGGAGAACTAACAAATAGGGAGGGGGGTGGGGGTAGGGACTGGGTGGGGAGGAAGAAAGAGGAGGGAAAAGGGTGAGGAGGGGTGAACATTGGGCTGCTGCCGACCCCAAGACAAAGCAAGGGGCCGACAGCAACATGGCTTTCAGAAATTACTTTTTTTTGAGAGAAAAGGGAAGGCTTCCTTTATCCATTGATCAAATTAGTATGTCGTTATCAAAAAAAAAAAAATATATATATATTAAGTATAGCTAAGCTTAACAATATTCCTCCAAAGAACAAATGGTAGGGTTTCGGAATGTGCCTGCTTATCCAACAGATGGATTGCTCCTCATTGACGCTACCATTTGCTGAGTTCCTTTTTAGATTCTCTAAATATGTGTAGCTACAAACTAGAGAATATATATAAGTATCCCTAAAGGCTGAGGCATAAACCTTTAGGTTTTGGCAGTCTCAAACAAAATGAAAGGAATGGGAATGAAATTACTTACATGCTTCTTATTCATCTTATGCACTCATGCCCTTTCAAGCTTGGCTCACACGAGCGTCTACGAGTTAGAACACGAACATGGTGTACAAGGAAGAGAAATTCATGGTAAGAAGTTACCTTTATTATTCAGTTGATTGATCTTTCAAACCACCGACTAATGTTGCACTGAATGTTCTGTGGTAGTGAGGCGTGCTGGTGTGGGTGGCTCAGTCAGTCTGTATGGAGAAAAATATGGAACGGATGATTCAAGGAAGAACCAAAGAGGGAAAGGGGCAAATGGTGGTGCAGATGTAGGTCATCGACGCCCAACTGAGAAAAGTAGTGCAACACCGGTGCTCGCAAGGTCCCAGCAGCCTTTTCTCATCACTAAAACCATGCTGCAAGTAACCTCTGCTTTGATTCTTGTTCTTCCCTTTCATTTACTATGACATATTCCGATTCGTCGGAGACATATACTGAATATGAGGGTTGGTTTGTTTTTGTTTGGTCGATAAGCTTTGCTTTGTTAATTGGGAATTCCTCACATTTTCTATGGTTATTATCTGTTAATCCTATTTGTTGGTAAGTTTACAGAAATTGTTTGTACGCTTGTACCAGGGTTGTTGTGTATAATTATAAACAGTACTTCAGCATTCTCTGACTGATTATCTGCATTTTCATCTTCCGCAAATTAGTAAAAGTATTGAGTTCCTTAATTCTAAACCAAAGAACCAAAAATATAGGCGACAATCAATAGCATGAAACATGGCAAATGTATATGAGTAAAGTAAGATCACACCAGTAAAAATAAAACGAAAATAGATCTTTACGTTCTGCATACATGATTCCGAAATTTTGGGAACTTATACCAGATTGTAACCAAAGTGACATAACAAAATTAAACATTATGTAAATTTAGTTCCAATGAGTAATAGAATTGTTGTCAAAGTCCTTAGATGTGTGCAACTTATGTTCTGTATCAGGTCGAGCAAATAGTCAACCGACATAAGTATTCCTACTGACATTAGCCATGAATGAGCAAAAAAGCACTAGGAAAGAAACACGACCACTTTCGAAAATTTAGGCAAACCTGAAGATGACCGGCTGGCCGTAACTCAAACCAGACTAAACTTCTCAGGCATATCGTTTCCTTATATGTCATACAACAACCTTGAAAAGGATTTCATATGTTCGGATTGCAGAGAAATGGCCAGCGATAAACTCCCATCATTGGTTGCACTTGGTAATACAAACGCCAACCCCTCGAATGCAATTCCACCAGGTCCCATGAAAATGGGCTGACCCCATCCAAAGTCGGCATCATGGATTGGCAGCCTAACCCAACTAGTGATCCCCAGGTTTGGACATCTAAATGTATGAGCTCCACGAACAAGGGCAGACAGATCAGGCTGAAGCTCAAGATAGTCGAGGGCTGATCTAAGATAATTATCATCCATACGGACCAAAGCATCATGGATACGGCTGGCAGCATACCAAGTTGGTTTTGATTGGAGATCCCCGGCAACAGCAATTGGTGTTGTTGTGAAAATCACATTGCCAAAGTAACCTGGTGGGAGTGGTGGTTGCAGTCTGGACCTTCCATCAGTGGCAATATATAGTTTGGTGTCTTGATCATCGGGAAGTTCACGTGCCTTGCATACACATCTCCAAACATGACCTGAGAACATCTCATATGAGCTATAGCTGACTGTATTCCCGGCTTCCTTAGACTTGGATTTCAAGATGTTGAGCTGATCCCGCGTTAATCTAAAAATGGAGACTGTGGTGGTATCTGCAGCACCAGGTTTTGCGCTTTGCAGAGGGGTTTTCATCGGTGGAGCAGGTTGGTATTCAATGTGGTGGAATGCAGGCTGAGGTGGGTCTCGGCTACGAAGCAATGTCCTGTCGATGAATGGAGGAATTGTAAGGTCAAGACCACGAGCCATATCAGACCATGTGTTAATAAAGTGCAGACCAGAAAATCCATCTGCTACATGGTGCTGCATTCCAACACCAAGTGACACTCCTCCGCATTTGAAGTACGTGACCTGCAAAGAGTAAAAACCGAACTATTCCTTGTAAGCTCAACTGTTGAATAATTACCATGGTCAAAAACAATAACATCCCCTTTTTTTCCTAATTAAGTATCTTCTTGAACTTTCATCAACATGGAGATTAGGACCTCTAAATAAATGTGGAGAAGTTCAAATCAAATTAATGATATAATTAAGAAATCTGATTTTTAGCCTTAAGAAATTATATGCAATACAAGTAGTACGTTTTTCAACACTATGTTATAATCTAAACGCAAAGTTTACTCCAAATTGTCAACACACATAAAAATTTCACCCGCAATATCACTAGTCCAAAATCGATTTTTACTCGAGCCAAAAGGTCACCTGCAATATCAGTAGTCCAAAATCCCATCATGGTGGTGCTACTTGGGCACCTATTTTTATATTTCACATTCTTTTTAATTAGCAATTGCCTAATTAAATGAATTGAAAAAAATCAAATGACGTAAATTAACAGAGATTTGTGAATAACACCATCCTGTTACCAAATGACCATCTCAATATTATTACTATATAACCCACATTTTTTAAACTATAGATCCATCAGCTGATCAGTTGACCGTGTTAAAGATACGAAATCTAATGAAGGGAAAACGAGACTCATTTGTATGACCAAACTTTTGCCACCCACTTGTTTAGTTAAATCTTTTTACACAAGTTTAAAACAATAAATGCCTGGTCATATATGTGATGCAAACAAGTATCGAGTAAAGCTAATGCCAATTGCCAAGGGCACGCAGTCGATTGTCAAAAGTCAATATGTTTTTCTTTTTTAGTTTAGTTTAAAACTGACAGTCATTCACTTACATATGTAATTTATCTATTCAAACTCACAAGTTTATTCTAAAAGAAGAATTAGGATTCTATTTGGATTCTTTTTGTGATGATTCGAAAAATTAATCAATCGTGTCCGTTCATCGTATATTGTGCAGTTATAAATTATTTTGAATTTTTTTATTTAAAATTGAATACAAACAATACCTAACGAAAACTAATCATACGATGAACGATGAACGAACATGATTGATTGATTCTTTAAATTTCCACCAATCCGGAGAGAATTAACTAATAAATTTACTAATCACAACATGACATAGGCTGAATTTAGGTGGACACCCCTACAAAGATGTAGCATTTGGAGCATTGTCCTATGCTTATATGCGGACAAGAAATATGATCATTAATTACTTGAACAATTCAAATAAAATGTGTTTGACCAAATAAAAAACTTACACGACAACACTTAAAACGACCATCCGAAAAACTAATAAATAAAATACCTGTAACACCAAGAGCGCATAAGTCGATATGCCAGCGGAGTAATCAACGGCCGGGATGAGCCTCCGGAGCTCCAGCGTGGGAGCGAAATCCCCGAAATCATCGAGGACGGAGCCCGTCTCCGCCTCAACAAACAGAACACCCTGGCCGCCGCAATCTATCTCGATACGGCCGTCGTCATCGCGCTTCAGCCGCCCCGCCATGGGGTAGAACGGCACAAGGGCCTTGGAGAGAGCGTGCTTGAGCACCGCCGGGTCGAAGAAGTTGGACCCACCGTTTTGATTCGGCCTGTAGAAATAGACGCTGGGCGTGTGAATGCTCGGAATCACCAGGTCCACGTTCGAATTCCACAGCGCCTTCTTCGGCGTCGCCTCCGCCGGCTTTACCATTGTTGACTCCCTCACGGTAACGTTGACCACCATGTTCGCTCTTCGTTGGGCCCCGCCTGGCACACCTGCGCTGCACCCAACAAAACACTATTAACGTGCGCCGTCCTTGGTGGTATTTAATTTGACTAAAAATCATTCTCATTCCTTTCTCGCGTTTTCTTGTAACGTCTGCCGTCGTTTGTCAAAACAAATGTCCGGCGCCGTTGCTAACATGCGGCGTCGGTGAACGTTAAAAGATGACAATTAAACCAGAAGAAAAGAAGGACCGATATGATTACCTGGAAATGTGGGTGTTGCCAGCTACCAGCGTACTTTAGCAGAGGGAGGGCGGAGAGAGAGAGAGAGTAGAGAGAGATGGAGGCAAGGGAAAGGGGAAGAATTCACAGAGATGGGTGGAAATTGGGAAATGGGAAGGAGAATGAAAGGAGAGAGGAAGAGTGCTTATTTAGGAGGGAGGGAGGGTGTTGTTGAGACCTTCCAACTAAGTGCATATATCTGGAGCGAGCGCGGAGGAGCAGAGCATCTGTCACTCACCTACCGTGCCCACTCACCACATACCACGTCAAACTGCAATGCAATCCTTGATCACCGCCAACAATTTTCCCATTTTTGTCTTTGTTACTTTTTCTGAAAAAATAAAAAATAAAAAAAGAAGAGAAGAAAAGTAATATGGGTTTAGTTCGCTTTAGATAGAATGGCAGTGATGGATAGGAGTTGGTGGAGACCTCCCTCTTGCGTTGGGTTTGTCTCCTCTGGTTTAAAATGATGCAAGAATCAGTAGAGTTGGTGGTACTAAGAAACCAACACTTTCCTTTTTATTTCTTTATTTTTGTTTTAAAATATATGTGAAGAGTGAAAAGAAAAACAAAACCAAAAACCTAACAAAGGTCTTTCTTCCTGCTTCGACTCCTATTCTCCACCAACTTTCTAATGCCTGGTAAACGGTGAAGGACTTTAGAGAATCTTCCATACTCTTACTTACAAGTTAAATTGTGGATAAAAAAAAACTGCTTAATATTCTCCTTATAAAAAGACATATCACTCAAGGTAATGTGTTTTATCTATACTGTATACCACTATATGAATGAAAATTGAATTTTCACTTTAAATTCATTGGCAATCGATAGTGATCCAACTTTTTATAAGCCCTTATAATGTTTTATAACATTTTGATACATGATACTGCGAAGTTCAAGACTTCCTACTCCAGGTTTGGCTTCCTTGACTATATTTGTGAAAATATAAGTGTGCCAAATCGGTATGAGGCTATAGCGGCACAGGTACTCAAAGGAGATGAGCATTTTTATGGTGAATGTGGTTTGGCTGTCTGAATGCCGAATTACGAAATGCACCTTAGAGTAACTAATCATAGAACACTTCACTTCCTTGGGAAGCTAATGAAGTGACCTCTTTAGATGAAAAAGTTGGAAACTATTCATTGGCCGAGACTTGGATAGACAACCAACCAACCAAAGGCAGTGTTATTCACTTGTTCGAACTGAAGACGCTCCTAAATCGCCTGGTTCTACGACTTCAGCGGTGCTCACTTATCCAAACTGAAGATGTTGTCCATTGCCAACACAGTGTTGTTTACTTATCCCAACTGAAAATGTGTTGGTGGGAGGGTTAGGATAATGTTTTTTTTCCAGGCGTGTGGGAAGGTTTCGCATATAGCAAGGGTTTTCGCATAGAGCATTTGGGTTGTGGAGCCTCTTTTAGAGTTCTATTTATAGGTGAGACTTACATGATACACAAGCCTGCCAAGGCATAGTCCTAATGAGACTGTGTTTGCTCATCTTTTGCTTCAATATTCCTTTTATTCATTCTTAGCTAAAACTTCATCTCCATCTAGTCTCATGGCCTCTTTTATTTTCACTAGGACTCTAAACCTAGTCCCATTATGAGATTTATTCATCTTTATTTGATCATGTATGCATTCTGATCTCTAGCATGATTCATATTTATCCAAAACTTATCCTTATCCTTGGCAATTTCAATTTGTGTAGGACTCCATCGAGCTACCCTCAATCTTTTCATAGTCCTACCTCTACGAGGACTCACTCGAACTAATCCTTTTTGTGGGCTAAAAACCCACTAGCCTAAACGATATTTACTGGGGCAAGAACTGTGGTCTCTGAGTCAACCCATTTCGGCCCATGCTATTATTTCAGGGCCAAACAAATGCACTTGCATATCCAAACTCCTTATAGATTATAGAGATATGTTGCATTCCATTTATCTTGCACAAATACATAATTTAATCTATCTTTAGAGATAATTATTATGACTAAAAATCACAAAATTATCCTTCAATAATTATCAAAAATTATCTTAACACCTTACTTATTCAACGGTCTAGAACTACGCACACTTAACTTGTCATGCCTCAATCTTGATTAGATAAGCTCGAATCGATACATAACGATAAACTGTAGTGGTACAATACAAAATACCTAGAGTCACTAAAACTCATGCATACAATATACATCAGAGCTTCAACAGAAATAACTTAGGGTAAATTGCATTTTACCTCCTTAGGTTTTGATGCTATTGCAACTTCATACAACATCTTTAAAACATTTCAATTTCATACATTATTTATCATTTTACTGCAATTTCATACATCCGTTAGTCAAACCGTTAATTTGACCATTAATTGATGACATGGTAAATATAAAATTAATATATTTTGGTGATGTGGAGAACCAAAATAATTAAATATTAAAAAAATAAAAATTTGAATAAAATATTAAAAACGTAACCTTCCCTTCTTCTTTCTCCAGCTACCGCTCTTTCTGCATCCCCATCTTTCCACTTTGCATCTCCACCTTCCATGGAAACACCTTCAAATCCCTCCCAGGTCCAAACCCCCGCAATCCCTCTAGCATTTGGCACCATGAAATTTCCATTTCTTAACAAATCCCACACACCCAATTTCTCACTCTCACCCCCCTTTGAAAACTTGTTAGCAGTACAGTTTGAAAGAACAGCGGTGGTGCGGTTTGAAGGATGTACGACTCAGTTGGTCACCATGGCGGAGATGCCGAGAGACGAAGGATTTTGGGTTTTGGATTGAATCTGAGGTTGCAGGAGTTGGGCATTAGCATCTCGCCGGATCTAAGTTGTAAGGGAAGAGACTTTTGAGATGGGTTTGCGAAGGTTCAAGATAGGTTTCGAGGCGGATTTTCGAAATGGGTTTCGAGAATGCAGTTGATGTTCTGGGTTCTGAGATGAAGGTGACGACAGTGGGACAGAGGAGGAAGAGCAGCGGGGGCCTTGGACGGGAGAAGATGGGTTGTTTGGGTTACAAGGAAGGAGAAGGGCTCGGGGACGAAGATGGGTTTTTTTTTTTTTTAATTTTTAATAGGATAAATTATTATAATATTTTAAATACATAAGAAATTATTTTTTTGCCATGTGGCACAAATTTGGCAGCCACATCAGCACAAATATGGTAGCTACATCAGCTTTTAACGGAGCAATGGATAGAAATTGTAACGGATGTATTATATTGAAATAAAATAGTATTTGAGGTATGAAAGTGCAATGTTTTGAAGATATTGTATGATGTTGCAATAGACTTCAAACCTGAGGTGTTAATGTGTAATTTACCCAATAACTTACAATAAAGGGTGACGATACCTACTCTCGAGTGCACTGCCCACATAGAAACATACACCACCTGAAATCTTCTCCTCTAACTCCTACCCCATACTCTGCAAAACAACCTTATGTCATGGAAATGGCACATGGGGAAAAGCAAAACCCGGATAAGCTGTGAAGCTTGTGTAAGTGATGATAATACAACATATGTGCATATAAGTAAGATCAAATGATTAAATGTAAAAGTAGTGCTATGTCTACACAAGATTTTCCTCTGAATACTAGATCAATCTGTCAATCTGATTACTGTCATTATCATGTCATCATTCTCTTCGAATTATGACTCACCACTCACCTTTCATCATTTTTGAATTAATACAAAGATTCGATTGCCAAATATTTTATAACTTAACCACCATACCACTCATTAAATGCATATAGGAGTGGTTCTTAATTCTGAATCTCACCACACGTCTTTCAAGATAATTATTAGTCATGACACAACTTGAAGTTGTATAGGAATGACATACCATCGTAAATACATTCATGTGTAAGAATGAGATTGGTATCCTTTTCAACATTGCATCTATTTTTGTATCGAGTAGGAATGAGTTACATCTGACTCTTCTTTTTTAGGCAACACCATCATATAAACTATTTGATTCATTCGTTACTTCTAGCTAGATTGAGCCACACATGCCTTCAATCTTTTCTTTCTATGTGTAACAACATACTAAGTCTAGGACAATAGAGAGACATAGTTTGGCCAAAGCCTACAAAGGTAACCGAATAGTATGTGACCCCCAATGCGGATTAACCAAGCAGATTCACTTCTACGAACATTGATAGGTAGTGATTACCCATTGTGAATTAACCAAGCATGGTCACCCCTAAATTACATATGTTCATACCTAGGTAATGAAGATTGCCCAATGCGAATTAACTAGGCGCGATCCTAGGGTTGCCCAATGCAGATTAACTAAGTGCAACCTTCAAATAGTATGGTCCCGTAAGGCGAATTAACCATGTGGGACCATCCATGTGATTCTGATTCGATGCCACATCACTCCTGTACTTGGTTAGCAATCATCTACTAACGTTCATATTTCACAATTATTTCAAGCATAGCATAGATATATTTCTGATAACAATATCAAGTAAACATATTATAATGGCACACATTTCCATAAAATATTTGCAAAATCCATGTTATATCCACATAGTATATAACAAGGAAGTTCTCATAGGTAATAACCGTATCACATTATATTAAAGTCACTCACCTAGGTCCTTGCCATTTCCAGATTCACCGTCATTGCTCCAAAGAACCTAATACAATACATAAAACCCCACTTAGGAAACTTAGTAAAACCGACATGCAAAACTAGGCACAATGCTACTTGCACATAAATCAAGATGCATGTCAACTAGGAATGACATGTTATCGCATATTTGTTAATTACGAAAATCATACGGCGATACAATTATCCCAAAATTGAATAATCAAACCATCGTATCAAATTTCAACAAACAGGCCTTGGATATGGGCTCAGAACATTAAGAACTTCCCGTTGTTCAAAATCCATGAAACTTAGTTTTCCCACGCACCGCCACATGTGCTGCCACACGTGGTGGTTCTTAGTGACCCAGTTTTCCAACATACTACAAATTCTACCCAAATTTTACAAAAAGGTAGATCTCAACACAAGGATCAATTGTTATATATGCAACGAAGTTCAAAAGTGGACGAAAGATCCTGTAAAGTCAGCGGGTGCCTAAAACTTCCTAGCGTCAATTTGCCATCTATGGTGGTACAAAATGGTCAAGGTTAGTCAAGTTTTGCTCTTGGAATGAAAGATTATAGAGCTTGGTGGTTGCGTTGGTCATCGCTTCGCTGATTTGCCAGAAAAATGAAAAAGGTGTCCAGACTCCTTTTGGAATTACCAGATTCCTTGGCCATGCCCCACCACATGTGTTGGTTAAAAAGGTTGGTTCTTGGGCGGGTTTTGTAGAGGGGAGTGAGAGCTTCAAAATGGTTGTGGTGGCAGCATTGAAAAATCTGTCAGAGTTAGTCGGAATCAGAGTTGGAAAATGAATGGTTGCGCGGGTCACGATTTGGGTTGGATTTCAAGG